TGCCATCAGTTATCAGCTGCAGGAATACATAGAATCTGGATGAACATGGTGCATTTGTCAGTACAATGATTGCCTGAAATTTGGCAACTCGTGGGGGGTCCTTTTTGCGAATTTCAAATTGCATTCTTTTAATGTTTAGTGTAGTGAAAAAGTGTCAATTTTTGGAAACCAATTTTCTTTTCACAATTCAGATCCAAAAATTATTGACGTATTGTTTTTTTGCAGGTATCCGCTGGCATCCACTTCTCTTCCTCCCCTTGTTTTTTTTTAATGTTTATTTGGGCTGCCATCAGTTATCAGCTGCAGGAATACATAGAATCTGGATGAACATGGTGCATTTGTCAGTACAATGATTGCCTGAAATTTGGCAACTCGTGGGGGGTCCTTTTTGCGAATTTCAAATTGCATTCTTTTAATGTTTAGTGTAGTGAAAAAGTGTCAATTTCTGGAAACCAATTTTCTTTTCACAATTCAGATCCAAAAATTATTGACGTATTGTTTTTTTGCAGGTATCCGCTGGCATCCTCTTCTCTTCCTCCCCTTGTTTTTTTTTGATGTTTATTTGGGCTGCCATCAGTTATCAGCTGCAGGAATACATAGAATCTGGATGAACATGGTGCATTTGTCAGTACAATGATTGCCTGAAATTTGGCAACTTGTGGGGGGTCCTTTTTGCGAATTTCAAATTGCATTCTTTTAATGTTTAGTGTAGTGAAAAAGTGTCAATTTTTGGAAACCAATTTTCTTTTCACAATTCAGATCCAAAAATTATTGACGTATTGTTTTTTTGCAGGTATCCGCTGGCATCCTCTTCTCTTCCTCCCCTTGTTTTTTTTTGTGATGTTTATTTGGGCTGCCATCAGTTATCAGCTGCAGGAATACATAGAATCTGGATGAACATGGCGCATTTGTCAGTACAATGATTGCCTGAAATTTGGCAACTCGTGGGGGGTCAAAAATTGTCAAAACCTGGTCAATTTGGGAAACCCACTTCTGTCCTCAATCCTGATCCAAAAATTACGCAAAACTTACCCAAAACCAACAAAAATGTTCAATCTGCTGGGTTTCACACATGTTTTCGTTACTCTTATTGTAATTATTTGCTTTGGCCCTGTTTATGCACTCCAAAATTCTACCCCAAATATTTCTACCCCAAATTTCTCATTTTTTTTTTTAACTGTGCACACCCGAAGGGTTGAACACATGCATATTCTATGTAGTCGATCATGAATTATAACTATAACTAACATTTGACATTTGATATCTTTCAATTACGGGAACCATTGCGTTCAACTTTTCCATGCGGGCATTATCCAAACCTCTGATGTTGAAATGTTATTTCATTCGTGAAACCAATTACGTTTGAAGTCCTGGGCAAATAATGATGTGTTTTTGTCATTGTTCGAAATTCAGTGGACAACGTCGTTACTTGTTTGTGTTCTTTGCATTGTTTTGGCCCAGCCGCTTTGCGCCAATGAAAACTGAGGGTGTATACTACAAATTCCACCAACATTGCATATTTCATTGATTTTCTTTTGGGCAAGAATCCATGCACCGCAATTCCACCCATTTTTGATGGACCTCGCCAATTGTCATGCCAGCTGATTCGGAATCCAGAAGGTTGGCAATGTTGGTGGTGTTTCCCATGTGTTGGAGTTCGCAGCAGTCAGTTCATACACAGTTCGTTTAGAAGGGTGTTGGTCAATGGGGAAAACACTTCAGCAAACAACATTTGATTGAGATTGGATTGCAGATATGAACCATTCTGCCAATCATTAAAAAAATTGAAGGACAATTTTCACTTGAATTGTGGGTGCCTTCGATTTGTACAATTTTGTTCAGATCGCAAACGTGATCGCTTGAACCAGGTCAAAACCTTTGGCATTGAGTGCTTCGCAGGTGGCGTTGCAATTTTGTTGCAGCAAATGTGTCAAAACATCATGTCTTGAACAAACTAAAAAAATGCATTTTTTATTCATGGGGAAAATGAAAAGGGACTCTTGCGGTGTGCCATTGACACATTTTGTGTTAAACAGACATCGGTTGCACCACATGCCTGCTTCCATGACAGCTGAACTGAATCCGACCGACAATTGGACATCGCAAGGTTAAAAGATTCTACTACACCACCACGACAGCTGAAGCGTTCCCATGGAAGGAAATATCAGAGGCACTTTCGGAATGCCAATGGTAAGCAAGTGATGTATATACTTGGGTGTAGTGCGTGAAACTAACATGGATGTACTGAGATTCTGAACCATTTGTTTGTGAATTCCATGGAACAGTTTGGTATTAAACAATTCCGTCACTTGAAGTATATTCCCACCTTGAATTGATTGATCCTCGCACTGTTTAGGATGCTGGGTAGCTAGTGCTGGACTGTTGGACTTCATGTTCCAGTGACCTTGCAGTATGAATTTATTTCAGTGGACCGCGAGAGGTTTGTGGCTGATAAAAAACCGGGACTGCAACGCCTGGAATTTGACTAGATTTGACTAGTTTATTTCTTTGTTTTCCCGAATTTCCCATATTTTTTGCCAATTGACGACTGACCTTGGCAGACAAGCCGCGGCGAGAATTTCATTGACGTGTGTGGCTGCTCAGCTGTCCCGAGTAGCTGTTCGGCTTCGCCGAAAGTTCGTGTTGTGCACGTCGTTTGCGAAATCGTCTACCTAGATCTATCAATGATCTATCTGGATCTAGTCGAGGTAGATTCGGTAGATGCAGCTAGACTTAAAGCTAGACCATTGTTGGGCGTTACCGGCATTGAGTCCACACATGTGGACAGAGTACATATGCTTGACCGACCAAGTACTTGTAGTACACTCAAATGGGAACACTCACTATTTGTTCCTGTTGAGTTTGGACAAAATTGTAAAATACAGACACCCGTGCTTTCAGACGTGTTGTCAGTTTGTGTCAGCTGTTCTTCTACATTCCTTTGTTTTTTCAGGAAGAGGTCGGATGGTGGCCCTGTGAGCACTGGACATATCACAAACTGTAGCAGTATGACTGACTCTCAGAGCTAAAATGGCTAAAGTCTGGTTTTCTGTGCTCTTTCAGCATTTTTCAGCCTCTGGTTTGCGGAAGGCATGGAATTGGTCAGCGTACTGGGAAGTACTTCAAGTATCAGAAGAAGAGGCCTTGGAGAGACTGCAGACAACACATATCGATTTCAATGCTTACAAGGAGATACACAAACTTACAATATATTGCTGGTACTGCTTGAAATTATTGCACAACAAAACCTCATCTCCAGAAACTTCACCTTGGAGGCATACGTTTTGGCGGCCAGTTGTTTTTCTTCAAGGTCAAAGTCAATCAGTTTGTGCATGTTTAACATACCATTTGGCCATATGGCAAAGCGTGGCAAAGAATACATTCTGCGTCATCACGAAAATGTTCGTTTTTCTTCCACTACTTGAACAGTTCTTATTTGTTCTGCGTTGTCAAAGAGTAACACAGCCAGCACAATCTCCACATCAGGCTTATTCTTTGCACTCCTTTTCATTTTGCAACCCCCATAGCAAGTCCGTGCCTTTGGGCTGATGACCGAGACGAGAAACGCAGAGAAACATGAACGGGTTCGCGATCTGAAGTGCCGTTTGCACGATTTGAGCGGCCGTGAACAGTTGATGATGGTGGCTGCGAAGCAAGCAGATGTTCGTCTTCACGAATTTCCTGAGCTTGGACACTTTTTTCCAGATCTTCACATTGATGTGAAGTCGTGCAGAGCAGCTCTCGTCCGATTCCTTTTCAGCAAGTGCTTGCACTATGGCCTGATTTTTTTGTTGCTCATTGATGTCATATTGGTCATGGGAGGATTGCAAATCAAAATCGAAGTGGTGGCATTGCAAGGAATGGCTATTGGCTCTTGTTATAGCACTGCATTGGAGGCCAACTCCTCGAGTCAGGAACATCACTTCCATGGTCTCGAGAGTGGTATGGAGTGTGTGAGAGAACAATCCACGTACGAGTTTGCGGAGGCGTTGGAGGATGTAGATTTTGTGTTCATCATCCTGAGCATCATCATTCTGAGCATTTTTCTTGCCGAGAACATTCTCTTTATTCTGGCTTTTCGGTGGAATTACTTCAAGATCATTTTTTTCCCACTGGACCTTTTTGTGGTTCTCTTGTCTTTGTTCACAGAGTTCCTCAGTTTGTTCGGTCCCTCTTTGGGAGACATAGAGAATCCTCTACGAACCTTGGGACCGAATTCCAGCATGTCCAACGGGGCAATTTCACCCTTGATTGCCGTGCTGATTCTTGGACGATTCTGGCGGTTCATTCGTATTGGCCATGCAGTTTACCTCCTTCAGGGATCTGAGGAGACTGGTGACGCTGGGTGGGGAGAGGCATAAGTTGCCCGCTGAGAATCATTAAGCAAGAAGCAGTCAAGTGCTACCGTCAAGTGCTACCCTCAAGTGTTTGTGCATTTTTGTGCTAAATATTGCTAAATGAGGTTTCCCTTTTTTGTGCTGGTTGTGCATCTACAATCATCTACCATCAACCCACCATGGCATTCCAATGAGAATTGCACATATTGCACCAGGAGCATGAGGAGACCTTGAAGGAAGAGTACAACAGCACGACACTACAGCAGTACAAGTCTCACATTGAACCCAAGCGTGACCTGGAAGGCCGATCGCTCAGAACGTCGGTTTTGGTATTCTGTTGATTCTTTTGTGCATGAAATGCATAGATTGGCATAGATGTTGAAAGTCTCTCAGAGACACAAATGCAAGATAACGGAATTTTTCATGCTTCTGGTGATAGAAATATAATTTTGACAGCCCACGACTCATAGTCTGAGTATTCAAGAAGATTTTCTGTGCTGCCCTTTGAATCCTAATGAGGTGAAGCTTGGGTTGTCACTGATGTCGGCGAGCAGCCACAACCATAGATCGGTACATGCGAACTCGCCAATCTGAGACTAGAGTACCTCAGTCTGAAAATAGAGCGCTGGACCGTTTGGCAGTTTCTGAATGGCGCAGCATGGCATGTTACAGAGATGAACAGCAACAGCACGGAGCAATTTCTTACTTACTATATTGACATAATTATATTGACATTATTTTAACATTAGATTGACATTCGATTGACATTCGATTAACATTCGATTGACATTAGACTGAGATTATATTGACATATATTAGTTGAAATATATCGACCCCTGAGCCCCACCATGTATAGCATGTGCAGGTAGGTCTAGTGTAGGCAAAATGTAGCTATGAGTACCAACATAATTCGGATTAGCTACGAATCCCAATTTAGTCCAATTAGTTACTTCTGATGCTTAATGTACAGAGTATCGTAACACACCTTACTAGAAGCGTTAGTAGGTGTATTTAGCGTAGCCAATGTTAGAGCCGGATACCCCTAACCTAACAATCACCAGGTCAGGGTCGTATGCCGTCGACGCATGGCTCAAGCGCCCAACTTGAAAAGGGCGTTTGGTTTTTCTCAATGGGTGGGTTACTGGAGGATCTTGTTTGTTCTGTTCGGTTCCCCCTTTTGACTGGTTATCAGCCGTAAGTGCTTTTGGGAAGTCTAATCCTCCGGTAACTTGGTTTAGGCCCCTGGTTTTCCGCACTTCCGTCACTGACCGTGCATGCCCTCAGATAGTTCCGAGAGGGTCGCTGCTGATTACAGCGCGACGCCGGAAACACCAGTAGAAGGAGCCAACGCTCTAGGGGAAGCAGAAGGTGTCGCGGATTTTAATCCACCAACTGCTGAACCGGGCGCCGCGGCCTCCCGAAGCTGGGCGGATCTATCTGAGGATATTTTGTCGCCCGCGCCGCCTTTTGGTGAGGCACCCACTTCTGCAGATCGAGCCCAAGGACATCTGGCAGACGTGAAGGAAGAGCTACATCAGGAGACATCAAGCTCGGGTGTTGTGCCTTCAACATTTTTCTTGCCTGACGGGGTCGCTGACGAAAACGTCGCGACGGATTTTGCAAACCAAGTTTCAGACCCTGCCACAGCGTTGAACATCCCCGAAGAAGTTCTTGCAGAGGCTGCCTTTACAGACTTAGGTCCAGTGGGGGAAGAAGGTCAGAACAGTCTTGCATTTTCGTCGATCCTGTCAGAACAAGCGCAAGTTGAAGCAGTCGACAATTTTTCAGTGGAGGTCGCTGGTGACAATACCGCGACAGACGAGGTTTCTGGTGAAATAACTTTTTCTGAAGTTTCTGGATTGCAGGTCGACAACAGTCTGGAGCTTGTCAAACAGGAAGAAGATCAACAGACACTTGGTCCAGCCTCTACTGAAGCCGTCATTGAAGCTGCCAATCAAACTGAAGGTACTCCGACAACCAACTTAGGTGAAGACGCAGTTGTAGCAGCCGTTGTCAAAGCTGAAGTTGACCCCAAGAGTCCTGAAGCTGACACAGCCGAAGCTGTCGCATCCGTCCATCCTGAGACCCAAAACTCAGGCCTTAGTGTAGAGCCAGTTGCAGTAGGATCCCAAGAAGCATCCGAACCAGCCTGTGCATCCGCTAAACCTGAGGTCGTTGACACAACCGTTGTCGCGACAGATAACCCAGGTGTAAGTGTAGATTCAGACATCTTAGGAGACATAGAATCTTCTGAACCAAGTTCTGCATCTGCACAACCTGGGGTCGTCGACACGTCCGTTGTCGCGACAACTAATAACACCCAACTAGACACATCCGTTTTTGTTGCACCACCCACTAGCCCCAACTTAGTTGAGCCTGGTGTTGAACCCATTCGTACTGGTCACTCCCCCTCCGCTCCATCTGCAGGTCCAAAACAACGCACTCGACAGAGGAGTTCACGCGGTGGGCAAACTACGAGAAACCAGGAAGCCACCCGGGCCTGGTTTAGTGACCTAGATACCTTTAGGGATTGGTTGTATCAAAATACAGGTGGGAGGTCAGGCCGTGGTTTTTGGTTAGGCCGATATCTTTTGGACGGTGTTGACATTGACCAAAAGTGGCAAGTCGCCAATCATCAAGCCATAGCAGACTATCTGACCGTAACCCAGTGTTTAGTCCTTACGTTTAACTTGTGGCCTGAATACGAAAATTGGGCCCTTGCAAACGGCCTGGACAGGAGACGTGGTATTGGACACGGCCGTAACGCAGTTGAAAAGGGCGTACTACCCCCAAAGCGTATCATTAACTTGAACATTTTGGGTAGTGAATTCCCTCCTCAAGAAAGCTCGGATTACTATAATAGGTACGTAGGCCCGAACGCCCCTGCGAAGCCCAAAGCTCGGGCCGCTGCCCCGGCCTCGGCTGGTGGCGCGGCAGCTGCACGACCACCAGAGCCCAAAGAGCCGCCCAAAACTGCATCGCCAAAGGCGCAGCAGCTAAAGGCACCAGCTTCTGGCTGGCAACCAACTTTGCGTGCTGCGGATCAAGTTGTACAGCAAGCCGAGTTTAGCAGTGTCCACACTTCATCATCCGTCCGTTCGTCGCCAAAGCAATCGCGAGGGGTCGTTGCTCCCAAAGAGCGCGACACAACAGTAGTTTCTTCTGAGGGTTCCGATATTGCTCCAACAACTGTAGCAGTCCCAAAAGTTCCAAAAGATAAACCTGTTGTTGCAAAGCCCTCGCCACCACCACCAAAGCAGCCGCAAGGGGTCGCTGTTCCCAAAGAACGCGACGCAACAGCCACTTCATCCGAGGGTTCCAGTAGTGCTCCAACAAGTGTAGTCACTCCGAAAGTTCCTAAGGTTGAGCCTGTTGCGAAGCCTTTGCAGCCGCCAAAACACCAGCAAGGGGTCGCCGTTCCCAAGGAACACGACACGACAGTGACCGCAGCCAAAGCATCCGGTAGTGCTCTACCAAGTGCAGCCGTGCCTGAAGCTCCAAAAGCTGATCCTGTTGTAAATCCCTTGCCAGAATTAAGTAAGCCCAAAGGAGTCATTGTCCCCAAAGAACACGACACATCAGCCACTGCGCAAAAGGTTTTAGATACTACCCAAATCATTGAAGTAGTCCCTAAGATTCCCAGTAGTCCAGCTGTTGTGAACCCTTTGTCTAACGCTAAGCTCCCATCACCCCCATCATCACCACCACCTGTAGTCCCTTCTAATATTCCACCGCCGCCACAACATCCGCCGCCAACACCAGAAGAGCTCGCTGCGCGAGCTCCGGCTTTTGCCAAGGCGCGCGAGACAGCGGTAGGGAATCAGGAGGAAGAGGAGGAAAGTTTTGAGGTTGAAAGCGAGGAGGAGCCAGCACCTGTTGCCAAAGCCGCATCTCCAAGGGAGAGGCACACAAAAAGAGATAGGTCCAACCCACCTTTGCCTGTTAATCTTTTGTCTAGAGAAGCCAGGGAGCAGATTGAGCTTGCTCGTGAACTCCGTGCTGCTGGTTATCCTGACACACGCCTAGATTCAGCAGGAACTTGGGTGCGGGTCGCCGGACCTTCGGTCGCGACAGCTGCAGAGCGTCCAGTTGCCCATCCAGTGGTAGTTCCAGGAACTGAAGCTCGAGACGTTAGGGACATTGACCCTTACGAGCTGGAGGACGCCGCCTGGCAGAATCCATCCTTGAGCTCCCGTCGGGTTGTGTTGGTCACCCCAAACTTGCAGTCTTCGGACATTGTAAATTTGACCACACGTGATCCTGACACCGAGGAGGAAGGCACAGAAGACCCTGCACTGGCGTCACAAAGATTTCAAGAGACTGGTAGGAACTTCATTGCAGCGGCCAGCGCCGAACCTAGTGAAGCCGACCCAGTAACTTTTGGATCGCGACCACCTAAAGTGCCACCCCCAAAGAGGCAAAAGGTAACCATAAAAATAACATCCAGGGATTACCTCAGAGCCCTCACCAAGGTTCCCACAGGGCGTTGTCCATCCGTGGAAAAAGCAAGAGGGTGCTGCGGCAGAATCTCCAAAATCTGCTGCCTGTGGGGTCGCTGCGGAATCCCGCGCGACAGGTGCCGTTGACAGGTCTAGATCCCCAAGAAATTTAACATCTACACCCTCTGAACCAGTCCAACATAGCTCATCACCTGTTAACCTAAGAGGTAGATCCCCCATTAAAAGTGGTAAGGAGCCATTGAGACCCCCCCCACCGAAGAGGGCAAGTTCTCAGCCATTGTCATCAGCTACCGTAAAAAGGACTGCTAGGGAGGCTGTTGCTTCCGGCACACCTCAGGTCACTGTTGCAAGGGCCAAAACAAATAAGGCTCCCCCACCGGGTGTTCGACCAGGAGCTCCTCCGCCAAAAGCTAGGCCAGCTCCAGCCCCACCAAGTAAGCCTGGACTCCCTCGAAAAGCACCTCCTGGCCACCTTCCCTATAAGGCGCCACCTGGGTACTTGAAGGAGCAAGCTTCTAGTGGAAAGGCATGCTTGGGAACAGATCCAACAGAGCCAAAAGCAACTGCTGGACAGGCAGAAGGGGCTGCTGCCGCACCTGTGGCGCAGCGGGGTGAAGAGTCAAGCGGAGCCCCAAGTGCACCTTCGGGTTCGCACGCTCCCCACTCTGCCCCTGTAGATTCAGTGCCTGGCAATATCAAAATTTGTCTCGATTGGCACGATACGCTTGACCAAGCGTTAAACCACCAAGGCTCCTTTGATCAACACCTAATTGATAAATTCAATAAGGTAATCTTAGCAGCAAATAACAGGGTCGAGTTCCATATCCTTTCATACGCTGGATTTAACAAAGTTGAGTCCACCCGCCAAGGCGCGAACCACTTAATAAATCAACTAAAATCCCTAGGCCTCCCCTTTGAGCAGTTGCACCTAGCAAAGCATCCTTGTGGAGCCCAAGGGAAAAGCAGCGTGCTATACCAACTTGGTGCGCACTCTTTGGTCGACGATCGTTCCGACGTAGTTGCTGAGTGCTCCCATTCTGGTGCCCGCTGTTTTAGGGCTGCTGGTAGGCACGACCGTGCCCTGTCCTTCCTTACCTTAGTTGAAGAGTGGATCAAGCAAGAAGGCGTTGATAGCATTCTG